TTTTAAAGATTCCGATTTTTTTCCGACCAACAACACGACTTCGAAATCATACTTAACAATTACGATTACAAATACGACGAAAGCGAAGTAATAAGAACTAAACGCACAGGGCGCTTTAAAAAATATTCCGCGAAGCGATGTAAACGATCACGAAACGTTTCGGTATCTAATTCGGATACGGATCACGACTCCCTGCCAGACAATAAAAACGGCGATACCGCTTACGATTCGGATAGTTCCGAAAGCAGTTTTTTGGGTTATGATTCGGACGATCCATCTAAAATAGACGTTCGGGAAACCGAATTGTTATACCGAGATTTGCAGATTCCGTTAAATTGTTCTGCGACGGTATAACCTCCGAACTGGTCCGGTGTCGCGCACAAACACGTTACGAAATACGAGACGTGTTCAAAACAAAAATAACTAGATAAAAAAATACGTCCGGTGGCTATCACGCTAGATCCAAACAAGATGTAATCGAAAGATTGGTGGCGTATAACAAATCTGCCGTGCGTAACATTGTTAAAAAAAAAAACAATACGAGAAATACGTGTTGCGCGCTGACGAACGGTACAAAATCTTAGACGGTTGTAAAACTTTAGGCATAATAACCAAAAAAACGTTAGGTGGGAGATTTCGATCAAAATTGTGCGTCTTGTGTAACGTGGGAAAACCCCAAGGTTTGAATGTTTCTATAGACGAACACACCGTGTTCGACTCTTGTTTTGCTTGTATCGAGAGAGTTCACGAAATTATAAAATAGGATAAATTTAAATTCAACGAGATGCTTGCTTTTTTGAAGAAAAAAAATCGACGATCGGTACAAAGCTCCTATATTATTCGTGAATTCCGAAGTGCCCGAAAAATTATAGTTTCCAATAATGACGAAAAATAGCGATATGTATAGTACCACGTATAACAAACTTTGTGAAAAATACGGAAAACGTATGGTTGTTAAAAGCGAAATCGCCAGATTGAGCGCGGAAAACAAATGGCGTTTGTCCGATGGTAACAAAAAAAAACATCGAAAAAAAAGTTAATTAAAATCATGATATCTTTTGATAAAAGTTTTTTTTGTAGAAATACCCTGCTATCGTTTTTACCCATATCGTCGATATTATAATTGGTTTTTTCCGTGTTTATATTTTTTGTGTCAAATTATTTACGAATTGATTTATAAATTTTTTCTCGTACGACGTTTATATAATTTTATTATTTTGTAATTTTTTTTTTCTGGGATTATTCAACATAATGTTTTTTTTCAATATATTATATTTTTTACATATAATTTTTTTTTCTATAACATAATATCTCGTTGTCATTAATATTCTTTTATTTTAATCGATATGCGGTATTGTATAACCGTTTTTTTTTGTATGAATAAATAATTATTTTTTCGGTATAAATATCCAATATAATGTGTTTAATTTTTATTTCATATACTATATTTTTTAAGTAAATAATTTTTTTCTATTACACAATGTAGTTGTCAATAATATTCTATTGTTTTGATCGATATTATATTTTTTTAAGTATATAATATTTTTCTATTACACAATGTAGTTGTCGATAATATTCTATTGTTTTAATCGATATTATATTTTTTTAATATATAATTTTTTTTTTCTGTGATATAATTTAGTTGTAAATAAGATTGTGATATTACATATCTGTTAAATTGTTTTTTTTTTTATATTATATGCAGCAATATCAATAAATGGTTTCAATATATGTTGTGATAATATTCTTTTTTTTTTACTTATTTTCTAACGTGTTTTTTTTCAGTTAGCCGTCGAAGTTACGAATAGACATATAAATACATGAAATAAACATGAAAAAAACTATATATTCTGTGCATCATGTAATGTGTAAAGTCGTTCCTCATTTACAATCATATCAAAACACTCTTATAAAGTTGAATTCGAAGTACATTTCGCGTTATGACTGTTTAGATTTCGACGATCGTTTTTTATGGCAACCCAACGAAGAAGTGCTCTCTGCCGATTTTTATGCAAATGAAACGTTTAATCTGCCGGACTACGTGCCTTGCGTTAGGTACTTTTATCAGATCATATTATGGGGCACAAGTTAAAATTTCAAAAAAAGACAGAATTTTATTTTTCGAGCCCAGTGTCGAACGGTCACCGTACGATGGATGTTTTGGCGAACATGTGGTGATAACGAGATTGGATGAATTCGAGAATAACGCGTACCGAGGTAATGTAAAATTATTATTTTATCAACAACAAAGTTATTACTATAACACAATCGTCTCCGCGGCATTCAAAAGTGAATTACCACAAGAATTGTTGCGTAATATAACGAAAAAATTTAAAGGAGACAGTTTCAAAACATCAAAAATCAAAGCTTCTTGCTTGACTTTGAATTACAAAAAACGATCGTATTCGTTGCGTTTGATGTTCCTCGGACTCAAAAAATTGAAACTCGATTGCAAAAATGTCGATATGAACATTGTTTTGTTCAATAAAATTAAAGATTTGTTATTCGCGTATTATAAATTACAGTGCTCAAATCGCGATACACCGTTACAACTGTTGTTCTCAGGATCTTTTTACGAAAAACTAAAAACTTTAGACGTTTACAAAAAGTCCGATATCACGGTAATATCGGCATTGGAAAATATGAAAATAACAAAACCTCTCGAAGTCGACATCGTAGACGATGAACATAAAAAACCGTCAAACGATTATTCAGAAATAGTGGGTAACGAATACGATTGCGAGTATCGTCGACAACACATAGTCGTGTATAAAGATTTGTTGACGTTTTTAGGAATTTATGTTTTGAAATGCCGCTCGAAACCGTCTGTCTGGGAAACGATCGACAATATGCATGACAACGATATCGTCGTGGACGATAAATTTATCGAGAAACATTGTGTCGAGCTTTTCAAACGTATCGAATCGTACAGGACCAATGATTCGATATCGATCGAACAATGCGGTTTACACTACAGTGTTTGGAACAACTTTCTGTCATTCTTGGATGACCATTCATCGACGCTTGATAATTCTAGTATTTTGCCGGATTCACAACGAGATCTTAAATAGTCAGACGTCAATACAGTTACTGCATTGCCTGCTGAGAGTCAGATTTAATTATTTTATATTATATATTGGATTTTTTTTTACATAATTATTTAATATTATAGTTTTTTTATACCAAATTCTAACAATAATTTTTATCATATGTTCAATATGTATTTGATATATAAAAATAAATAAACACAGTTTCGTATTCAATATAATGTTATGTATTTTTTTTACATAATTATTTAATATTATAGTTTTTTATACCAAATTCTAACAATAATTTTTATCATATGTTCAATATGTAGTTGATATATAAAAATAAATAAACACAGTTCGTATTCAAGATAATGTTATGTACTATTTTCAATTATTTATTACATGATATTTTTTTTCTTAATATATATTTAGCAAAAAAAAATACCTTATTCGTACAATGAAAAAATACTATAGACAATTATAACATAATGTTGGCTTGTAGTTAATCGAGAGTATTATCGTCGTAATCATTTATCGGTATTTCGTCGTCGTCGTCGTTGTTGTCAACACGACAATAATCCACGAGTTTTGTGGGTTCAGAAATTGTGAATTTTCGACTATCGCTCACGGTTCCCAGTGTCGGATCTATGACGCTCGCAAATGTTGGAAGTTTTAACGTTGAACATCTAGTGGTATAACTCATCTCGTCTACGTTTTCTGAATGGTCTTCTCCGTCTAAAACGCTATCAGCATTTTGTGGTGATCATACTTCGAAAACTGTTTTCCATATCATCGATCGATAAGCAAAAGTGTTGAAATTTCTCAACGTCAAATCTTTAGTCAGTATAGATTTAGGCATTTTAATTTTCTTCCACGGCACTCGTAAATGTTTTTTTGGACGTTGACACAATTCGTGTCGTATTAAACACGTTATTTCGTTTACTACGGTTTTTTGTTCTGCGACACGCAAATCGTCAAACCACGAGATGTCTATCACATCGTACAATAACGAGTACATACGGTTTTGTAAAAATGTATAAAATTCCCAACCGGCCCTTTCAACGTCTGTACCTGTGGCACTGCGCAAGTGAGTTTCGTCGACGCGTTGAACGTTACTGTCGATTATGGCCACGAGTCACGACATCTATACGTTTTCTGAAAAAATCATAAAAATATGATTGTTTTAGAGATTTGAAAATTTCGTCGAACTCGTTTAGATATTCCGCGTGGTCGGGTAGTCGGTGATCCGGGGTAACGTTGCCGAACATTTTGACGTATCTGTCCAACAGTTTCCACAATAAATGCCACTCCAACACGTTCAACGGTGTACGGTCCATGACTCGCACGTCGTCACAGCTCTCTATATCCATCATTCCCGAACACACGTAACCCATAACGGAAGGTCCGTAAGTCGTGCTGTTGACAATGTTTTGATATTGTTGTACTTTTAAAACGGGCGGTAAATTTACGGCTCGCAAAATAGACGATTTTTTACAGCAAGAAGTACCGTCCACACACAACACGTTTGTTCTAGCGTTATATAGTCGTACTTTTGACAAAACAGCAGCTATACGTTTTGTAACGTTTTCCGAGTCATATTCTTTTTGTTCATCAGTAAAAGTGACATCGTCGTCGTAGACTTTTTTTGATTCTACAAGGTCAGTAGATTTCATTTCTAAAGTATCTGTTGACGATCGTCTATCTCTTCTGCGGACATCGCAATTTTCATCTGTTTCGTGTGCCGACATTTTTATTAGTTATTTAATTGTCAAGGTTTCGATGGAATCTATTGTTTCCTTCACGTCTGTTGACCACGTTAACGCTCAGAGGTAAGCGGAACACAACTACAAAGCACGTCTGATTAAGTTACTGTAAGCACCACACTTGGCCAGTTATTTGGACTGTAATGTGCGACCAGCGACCAACGAAGATTTTTATATACCCGACCGATTGCGCGACTCGTGTCGGATAATGGACGTCCGGATTTCTAAACGTTTGTGCGAAAAATTATCGTCCAACAGGACTCGTGAACGCGACATGTGTACACCCAACCATATCGCTTCGTATTATCGAGTAGGCGACGACGGTTGGGACGTCCAGTGTCAACCAGCTTGTTTTCACATGAAAAACAAAAAGACCTACGACAAAGACGGCGAGATAGCCGTCATGAGTCCGTGGTTAAACTACGCGTTCGGCGAATGTCGTTTAGTGCCCGAACAGATGGCGACGTTTCTAGAAAAACCTTTCCATCGTACCGACGTCGTTTACGAACGTCGAGTTAACGATATGCCGACGGGGTTTTCGCGACGCGAAAACCTTTCGGACACGTACGGCTGTGGGTTCACGTACGTAAACAATAACACTTATTGTAATTATTTCGATCGTACGATGATTCCGAGCGCCGGTAAAACTGACGGACCCTGTGGTTTTACGGGTACAGAAAAAGTCGTAGACGCTGTAGTGGGTATGTCGCTGATAAATACCGTGAAATCTGCGGTACGGACTACGCTTATCAACAGTACGAGCGTTCCGTTTTCAGATCCCGTAGATTTGGTACGTTTACCGACAAAGCTCGAGAACGTCATGCCTGTAGACGGTTGGCGTGCAGACGTTAATCGTGCATTTGTTCCGCCCGAATTGGTTTCTTTTTGGGATAATGGTGACGATGACGGCGACGATCTTGGGCGGCGACGACGCCATGACGTTTCCGAGACACCAAACGATTACTCTCACGAGAAAACATCGACAGACGATCGTGCGGGTGAAGTAAAAAAAACAGTTAAAAAAACTATCAAAAGTTTATTGGACATGGTGAAAAGCGAAGAATTTTGGATTAATATTTCTACAGCGGTGGCGTTCGATAAATCTCTGACGTATATACGAAAAATTTGCGTTAAAACTATAGCCACTCTGCAACCGTTATTGACAGACAACATGGTCGCGCTCATGCGAAAATCTTATTCAAAAGCTGTCGTACAGGGTACGGCTAGATCTATGGCCAAAACAATGATGTTGACTTCGGTGATGCAGCTGACCGGAAAATCGGCATTGATGTTGGCGCGAGTGACAGTTTCCGTAACGAACCCGGTGAGCTGGATACTGGCCGTCACGTCCGTGTTAGATTTTGTTTTCACGTGGTGGGACCCGTTCGGTTACGATAACATGCTTCAAGGGACGTTTCCGGCCGATTATATACGCAAAGGGGAAATCGAAATGCGGCAACGGTTAAAAGTGATAAAAGCTAATTATACGTTTGACGCTATCGTGTACACCGTACTCCACAAAAACGAAATCGACGACGCCACGTTGTTTGGTTTCGTGGAGCAATCTGTCCTACAAATATGCAGTAGAATTCATAATTGTACATATAATAATAGGTATACTATTTTATTTTATTTGGTAGACCGTCGTAGTTATATCGTCGTATTAAGCAGTTTATTATTTATAAAACCACTGCATAGGTACTAGGTAGTTCCAGGATACTAAGCATTAGTTTTACGAAATATTCTACAATACACAAGATTATTTTCCCGGACTACCATTGTGAAAAGTCGATATGTCTATTTTTGGTGCCGTCTTATATACTATTATATTATATCGGTTGTGTACCCACCATTTGTTCCCAAAAATCCGTAACGTCAGAAAATCGTTTCGATTTATGACAAAGGTACGCAGAATACATAACCACTTCCAATCACACACACAACTCTTTATTTCAACGGACTGCTGCCGCGAAGGGTCAGAAATGTCCATATATGGTACCGGCATTATATATAAATATTATTATATTATATCCATTATCCATCGTAAAATAAATCTTTCCCATCATTCCCAAAAACCGAAACGTCAGAAAATCGTTTCGATTTATGACAAAGGTACGCAGAACCCACCCACCTCCAATCAAACACACACACACTCATTATATTTTCACCAGACTGCTGCTGCGAAGGGTCAGAAATGTCCATATATGGTACCGGCATTATATATTAATATTATTATATTATATTCACCGTGAAATAAATCTTTCCTATCGTTGCCAAAAACCGAAAAGTCACACACACAATACCTATATATATATATAATTTTAAAACATAATGCGTGGTTGATTATTATTATTATTTTTAGCACATTAAAAGGAGGGTGGAGACTCACTAAAGCTTTTTTAAACACTTGCAAGTTGTAACAAATAAAAAATTTTGAACATATTATTCCACATATTAGTTATGTATTAAGAGCAAAAGGTAAAATTGTTGATTAACAACAACGGTAAACCGGCTCAACTACTGAGAAAAGAGAAACTAAATGACCGTTGTTTTACCGTCGTAGGTACTGCGTAGTTTCTATATAAAACAACTGCGTAGTATCTTCAAACTACGCAGAACTTTTATGAAATATTCTACAATGCGCAACATTATATTGCTGGACTGCTGTAGCGAAAGGTCGAAAATTACCAAACATGGTACCGTCGTTTTTATATATTGTATATCGATCGTGTAAATCTTTTAATCTTTTATTGTATCTTCCTGATAATCCGAAGCGTAGTTAAATTTATCGAAATTTGACGTGGTTACACAAAACACACACACAATATATCTATAGTTAAGGTACTTATATACTTATATCATACTGCACATTTTACTGTAACTACTTTTTGGAAAATATTTTTGTTGTTTTCTTTATTTGAAACACATTATACGTGTCGAACGATTTTAGTTTCTAGGTGTGGCGCTGTCGTATGCTGAATCTGCTGAAAATCTGATTTTCACAAATGTTGAAACAAACATCATTCTTATGTCTTATAATATAAAATCAAAATTAAAATTTGTAAATATTTTATAAAACCAGATTATTATTTATTTGTTCCGTGTTCTAATTTCTAAGTGGGGAGAAGTTGTCTCATAATATGACGCTTCGCTATTGCCTATTTAATATATTGTATTATGTTTTGTATAATTGAAATTTGTTTAATAATACAACATAATCAAGCATGCGGGGGAATTGTGTGACATAATATTAGTATATTACCATCGAAACTGTGATTTCGAAATCTGGGTATAACACATTCCTCGAGAACAATGAAGTTAACGTCGATAAGCGGGCGCCTGGTAACAATATAGCACAGTATAGCATAGTACCTAAATAATATAGCGATCGTAGGTATGCGCCTGTTAGGCACTCATACCAGAACTCTATCCTATATACGGATTCAAGCGATAAAATAATATTGTATAAATGTGATACACGTGTGATAAATACATAGAATAGTTTGGTCCCCGTGCGGGTAAAAATATCACAAAAAAAAACACATATTGTATTGTGTTTGAAAAGAAATTCTAAAAAGCCGATGAAGGGTCCAAAATGTCAAATGATATTCGGATTTTTATTATGATTTATAGCATGGGTATTGTACACAATATATATCGTGTTTTGGTGCGTGTGAGTGGGTGTGAATGGTTTTCGTGTCGTCGAGGGTTGTTGGAAAAACGTATTATGTGTACATATATATATAATATGACCTTGACGTATTGAAAATTCTTGGTGTTGAGGCCCGCACGACATTTATCCACCGGGCACCGAACGTAACACACACACACACACACCCTGGCACACACACCCAGGCACACAACATATTATCTGTTCTGCGTATCTGCGTTTATTATATATTGTTATTGTTATAAATTTATAATCGTGTCTTGTGTGAATATTATAAAACGCAGCATAGACAAGTCGTTCTGTGTAGGATTAGCACGGCCGTCGCAAATTATTTTAAGTCGTTGCATACCGTCTACGAGATTCAAAAATATTCTTTTTTAAGGGCGAAAATCGCTAATTATTATTTTTATATCCTCGACGGATCAAATAGCTTCAATATTTGATATTTAAAAACCAGCCTCTGTGCGTGGCATACTATATACTGGAAATAAATGTGTTTACTGTATTTTAATTCTAACCAAGTAATATCGATTAGTAATTCCAATATATAAGAATGGAGATAAACAAAAAGTTTGTAATTATAGACCAATCTCTATGTTATGTAATTTTTCAAAAATTTTAGAAAAGATTATAAAAAACCGCTTAATAAACTACTTAGAAACAAGCAAGTTATTATCAAAAAATCAGTTTGGTTTCAGACCTGGCATAGGTACCGAAGAGGCTCTTTATAGTGCCACAAGTTTTATTTATAATGCACTGGATGAGGGAAATAAAACTTTGGAAATTTTTCTAGATCTTGCTAAAGCATTCGACATGGTAAATCATACGGAATTAATTAGAATTCTACCTAGTTTTGGTATAAAAACGAGTAGTATAAAATGGTTTACAAGCTATTTATATAAAAGAAAACAAATTGTTATGGTAAATGATGTTTTAAGTGAAGAAATGGAAATAATTTGTGGAGTACCTCAAGGCAGTGTACTCGGTCCGATCTTTTGTATACTATACATAAATGGTATATGCAATCTAAAAATTGATGGGAAAATAACTACATATGCAGACGATACATGTTTGCTTTTTTCTGGTCCCACTTGGAATTCAGTATACCAAAAATCAGAAAACGAACTGATAAAAGTTGTCAATAATTTAAGTTCAAAGAAACTATTATTAAATATTAAAAAAACCGTTTTTATGGCTTTAACTATAAACAAAGAAAATGTACCTTTCGATAAAATCACTGTCCATTATTGTAGAAATAAGGAGCAATGTAATGAAAATATTTGTAAATCAATCTCAAAAGTACCTTTCACACGATACTTGGGAATTACCTTTGATGAAAATTTAAGGTGGAATGTACATATACCTAGATAACATAGTTATGCGTTTAAGAATATCAGCGTATAAATTCTGCAAATTTAAAGACATTTTTCCTATTAACATTGTGTGTAATATATATTTATCTTTTTACCAAGCAGTCTTTCAATATGGCATTCGAGTATGGGGAGGTCTTGCCCAAAAAGCTATTAAACCACTACAACTGCAACAAAATAAAATTATTAGAATATGTCTTAATAAATACAGTTTAGAAGGATCTACATCTCAAAATTATAAAGAACTCAAAGTTTTGCCTATTAATTCACTGTATAAGAAATTTGCTATTGTGTGGGTAGTAAAAAATATGGAAAATTGGTATAATGCAGATAAATCTAAGCAAACTAGGGAAAATAGGACATATGATGCTAAAATTAATTATACGAATACCTCTTTTGGTCAAAAATTTGTGGATTATCTTGGTCCGAAATTTTATAACTCTTTAGATTTAGATTTAAAACAAAAAATAATCGAAAAACCAAAACATGCAAAAAATATTATTAAGAATTGGTCTATATTAAACATTGAATAAAATGCATATCATTTATATTATAAAATATTATATAACATCTTGCTTTATATTAACTATTATATTTTGTTCTAATCTAAATTTTATTTCTTGTATAATTCTTGTATAACTTGTATAATTTGTATATCATTTTCTAATCATGATGTTTACCTGTTATCATAAGCAACCTGTATATTATTGATAAGTAATATTAACTCTATACCTTCGTCACAAGCTACGCTTAAAGAAGGTAGGTATAAATTTAAGATATATTGTATTGATGTATTTATATTGTACAATTAATCTTTTATTTAAATTTAATAAAAAAAAAAAAATATATACTAATAGTATGTATAAATAATATATGTTACAGTTAAAACCCGAAATTCGTCAAAACTAGTTGTTCATCAATAATTATTCGTCAAAACTAATTTTAATTAGTTCGAAATAGAATTAAAGCCAAGTTTAAATATCTTTTAAAAAATTATCGCTCGGTCCTTATCGGTTCGGTGACAGCGATCGGCCGCGATATTGTGATGTCTACACTACAGTAAAATTGTTATTCATAAAAAAATATCATTGGTCTATTATTCCTCCGAGTATAACTTATAAATTATAATATTTTATAAAATGTAATACTTATATAATATATGTATTTTTTTTAAGACAGTATCATCAGTTTGATAACTTAAAATATTATATGAAATAAAATATATTTTTTTTGCATATATACCTGTGACCTGTCAGCCACCGTGTAAGAACCTACTACGGTACATTTTTTATCCTGTAGGAACTAACGTACCTTTTTTCCGTGTAGCAACTTACATACCACATATTATGTAGGAATTAACATATGTAGTTGTCTACCTGTTACCCTCGTATAGGAACTTACAATGTCCCATTAAGATAGATCATTTGGTCACCGGGAGGCGGGAGTAATAAGACGTTATTTATAAGTTTATAATCATTAAGCATAGCTTACCTATATTATTTAAAATTAAATTTCACTGATGAAAATGATTTTGAAGTTGTGGGTAATAATTACGTTTTATTAGTATAAAATATTGAGGGAGCATATTACAGTATTAAACATCATAATTTGTAAATCAAAAATAAAATATGAATAGAAAATCAGTATTTAAACGTTTATAATATAATATGAATATAAGAAATAATAATTTGACAGGGGACAAGAATATTTTCATTGGTAGATACGTATTCACTATTCGTGTAATATTATATAACCTACTGTGTCCTACAAACTACATTCTTCAATTTCATTTAGTTTCAGACGTTTCATATCCGTAAAAAAAGCCAGTCGGCGGGCGTTTTATCCTAGTTAATTATTCAGATAAGACATTTGGTCCCTTTTTATTATAACTCACTAAAATTAAATTGCTTTTTTTTAAATTTAAAATTTCAATTTTATTCGTAGAAAGTAAAATGTCAGAACACATGATATTTTATTAATAATAAATATACATTTTTCAATATATACTTTAATTCATTGAAATTGTAGAGTGTAGGTTATAGGACACAAGGCAAACCTCGTTTGTATTCTTTCGTTCTAATTCAGCTTCGCTATATTATACATAAATTATAGCCTTTACCAGGGGTCGTTAACCTGCGGCTCTTTGGAAAATTCATCAATATATCGAGATCCGTAAAATATAAATTATAATTTATACCTGATTTATTATAGTGATGATATGTCAGAATTTCTGAATAACGATTTTCAGGTCAGAAATCTCACTAATATTAAGTACGAGTAGATACGTTTTTTGTGTGTTATTGTATTTAGTTAAATAATATTTGATTTGTTTAAACAATAATAATAATAATAGTGATAATGAATTGTGCATGAAATTGCACTGAAACTGCATGTTTCGAGTCAAAATTAACTTTTTATCTATATCATTTTGTTGTTGTTCGCGACGCTTTTGAATTTTCTGTTGTCATGTTAAGTTCCAATTTGGACAAAATTATTTATTTTTTGTCAATTTGATGTATTGTAAAAATATTTTTCGTGGGTGTTTATACTTCAGAATATTAGAGTACATTATTATAACGTAACAGTACGCACAGAATGACATTTTCAAACCACACAACTAGATCTTTGAAATAATAAATATTATGTGTATAAAATATTGTATAATATATTTTATAGATTTGTCTATGTAGGTATGTTCTATAAAAGTTAGCACATTATATAATAATAATATCCTAATTCTTATATCATTTCAAACAATATTACTAGTTTCTATTATTTAAAAGCTTTAAACAACTTACTGTTGATTGATGTAAAAAGATTACAAGTCGACTAAATATTTGAAATATTTTATTGTGTTACTTAAAAAAAAACAAACTTTATGTCACAATCAATAAAAGGTCAAGATTCCTTCTTTTATATAATTTTGAATTTTCAACTCCTAAGCAATGATATTTATGAACCATTATGAATTGCATTACTAAAATGTTTTACTAACAAACAAAAATAATTGTGTAAAAAAAAGCAAAAATTATAGGACGGCGAAAGCGGTCACCCATCCGATTAAGTAGCAAAAAACAACCGCTCGCAGGGTCGCGGGAACCTTGAAAGATTCTCTCGACCCTGCGAGCGGTTGTCTTTACGGTTATATGGTTATAGTGCTATTATAAGGGATATACTGCTAATAATTGTTATCACAAATGTCGACGTTTAGCGTTGTGTAGTTTCTATGGTGAATTTTTTTTTCGAATGTTTTAGCATATTTTAATGAATATGGATACTAATTGCATATTTCTGACTAGTTAAATAAATGTTGCATATTATATAACAATAATTATAATAATAATCATATAAGTTCTTATTCATCAATTGCGTATGTACTAATACCTAAAATCGTGATTATTTTACATTGAATGAAATCGAAAGTATAATAATTTTATGTATACCTAATACTTCAATTAATTTATTACACTTTTATAATATTGCACACTGTCATTAAACAACATTTTTAAAAATTTTTTTTTGAAAAAACTTTTTAAATACATTTTAAGATTGTGTTATGTTTTTGTAAAAAAAACTTTTTCATATTTTTTGCATATTCATGATATGAATCTACATATTTTATAGGTGTTTATTGCATTTTAATCTGGCTCTAATCATATTGTGTTATAACATATTAGGTACCATGATCGAAATTACAAAATAAGATTTTGAAAAACCAAAATTTGAAATAACGAGTTTTATGAAAAACGAAAAAGTGAAGAGGGTGTAAAATTACTTGTAGAATATTATAACCTCTGTGAGAAATTTTCGTTGGACCACCAGGTGACTAAGAAAACTCGTATGAAAATTGAAAATTTCAAAAAATGAAAATTCTCTGTTTTCCATAAAAACCGTGAGAGATACGATGAAATTGTGAGACATACAACTGATCTTGAAATAGAAAAATATAACCGAAATTGTCTGAAACTGCATGTTTTGAGTCAAAATTAACTTTTTATCTTTATCATTTTATTGTTGTTCACGACGCTTTTGAATTTTCTGTTGTCATGTTAAGTTCCAATTTGGACAAAATTATTTATTTTTTGTCAATTTGATGTATTGTAAAAATATTTTTCGTGGGTGTTTATACTTCAGAATATTAGAGTACATTATTATAACGTAACAGTACGCACAGAATGACATTTTCAAACCACACAACTAGATCTTTGAAATAATAAATATTATGTGTATAAAATATTGTATAATATATTTTATAGATTTGTCTATGTAGGTATGTTCTATAAAAGTTAGCACATTATATAATAATAATATCCTAATTCTTATATCATTTCAAACAATATTACTAGTTTCTATTATTTAAAAGCTTTAAACAACTTACTGTTGATTGATGTAAAAAGATTACAAGTCGACTAAATATTTGAAATATTTTATTGTGTTACTTAAAAAAAAACAAACTTTATGTCACAATCAATAAAAGGTCAAGATTCCTTCTTTTATATAATTTTGAATTTTCAACTCCTAAGCAATGGTATTTATGAACCATTATGAATTGCATTACTAAAATGTTTTACTAACAAACAAAAATAATTGTGTAAAAAAAAGCAAAAATTATAGGACGGCGAAAGCGGTCACCCATCCGATTAAGTAGCAAAAAACAACCGCTCGCAGGGTCGCGGGAACCTTGAAAGATTCTCTCGACCCTGCGAGCGGTTGTCTTTACGGTTATATGGTTATAGTGCTATTATAAGGGATATACTGCTAATAATTGTTATCACAAATGTCGACGTTTAGCGTTGTGTAGTTTCTATGGTGAATTTTTTTTTCGAATGTTTTAGCATATTTTAATGAATATGGATACTAATTGCATATTTCTGACTAGTTAAATAAATGTTGCATATTATATAACAATAATTATAATAATAATCATATAAGTTCTATTTTTATTCATCAATTGCGTATGTACTAATACTTAAAATCTTGATTATTTTACATTGAATGAAATCGAAAGTATAATAATTTTATGTATACCTTATACTTTAATTAATCTATAACACGTTTATAATTGCACACTGTCATTAAATAACATTTTTTGCCCAGGCTCACATATATAATAAAAACAACATTTTCCAAAAAAGTTCCAAAATTATACTATTAAATATATTTTATTACTTGTCTAGACGTTACTTTGTATTAACATTAACCAATACAACTATTTTAATGGCTAGCCAACATGTGACACACCCATCTGTGGAATGCAGTGGCATTTAAGATATGAATTGTACCATGTCGAGTTGACGGCTTCCCGTAACTGCATATACAATATATATAACGCATTCAAAATCGAGTCACTTAAAACTCCGTCTATGCAATGGCCAGGAGTTTGCTTTTATTAAATTATTGTTTATAACTAATTCGTCGAAAAGATAATTGTTTGTTTGGTCATAACAATAATATATTTTAAAAGTAGTTAGGTGTACGATGACAACAAAAGTGGACTTACGATCTTCGGCTCCGGTCAGTACAAATATGTACATATTATTATACGCTTAAGAGTAAAATGAGAAGAGAAAAAATATTGTCCTATTTCGTGGTTATGTTGCCAGACCAAAACTTGTATAATTGCTGAGTATCTTCACAACTATTTATTTTGTCATGTATTGTGATATGGTATTTGCATTTCTGTCTGTTTCAGTGCGAGACAGTATCATCAGTGAAAGTATATGTCCTCCATTTGGTAAAAAAGCAAAATTCGAGGTAGAGACAATACAAACTAGGTCACCGATGTACGGATGTGACTATATGGGAAATCAAACTCAAATCACCACTGCTCCATTGTTCCATTTGTGGTTGGAGCGTCCAGTGGAAACAAGAGTACACGGGCATTTTAAATGTGTTATCTTATTTATTTAAATGTTTAAATTATTAAATTCTTTTATTTTAATTCATTAGTCATTTTATTTTTTCTGATTTTAAAAATAGTAAATTTATATTTATACATAATTGGTAGAAATTAGTATTTCAATTATCACTTATATAATGTATTAGTTTATTATTAGTATTGCAATTTATAAATATATTTGTATATATAACATACTTTTCATTCTTAAATTATTAGATTTATCGCGTTCATATTTTATATATTCTTAGTAATAATCTAATAAAATAAGCGTAATAATAGATTTTAGCCGACTTATATTAACTATGTATTGATGTCGTTGCGCTGACTGTCAACAGAATACCCACGTTCCGCTCTTGAGATTTGAATCGATCATAAATCAGAATGATTTTCGATTAATAGTAATAAGTATTCCTTGGTATAAAATAATTAAAATACTAATTCTAGCATTGCAATAACATCTATATGATTAGTATATACAATATACATACACTATAATATAACAGTTTATTAATCTTTATCAAAGGTTCTTTAATTAGGTTAACAATAAGGAGTATATTTTCAGTGTACCAATGACCAATCCATCAAATTATTACCACAATTTTTAAAAAGTACTGAACATTTATATAAATTATTTGAATAGGTATGCAAATACCATTATTATTATTATTTATTTACATAAAAAAAGAAACAATTAATTTGATTTGTCTTTTTAATTTAATTTATTTATTTTAATTTTGTTGAGTAGGAGGTTAAACATAAACGAACTATTTAACAATTATATTTTATGTATACATTTCTAGTCAAAATAATTTTTAAGTTTTGATTTTTGCACCAAATTTTGTGGTGTTCTAAAAACTGCACTTTACTTTTTAAACTTAAGTTAAAAAACATCAAACATTTTTTAAGAAAGAACATATATTTGACTTATAAAGTCACATAAATCATGACTGTCATGAAATTCAGATGTGTTATATAATATTATCTGATATAATTTATATACTTAGTTTTGTGATAAATAACTATTACAAAAAAACATTTATCTTTTATTGATTTTTTTTTTATCTTTATCTAGATTATTAAATTATTGTGTATCTTTTATCTTCGTCTAGATAACTATTCTAGAAATTATCTTTCATCTTTATCTATATATTTAATTAATTATCTTCATACAACACTGCTTAATACATGTCACAACATGTGTAAACTAGGTTTTTCTAACCCGTCTCGCTCCATGCTCTAACATATTATAGTGGTAACCTAACCTCAGTAGTAGGGTGTCAAACGTCTGAATGCACATTATTTTGTTTTTTGTTCTATAATTTTACGGGAAATGACGTTAGATGAACCACCAAAACGGCTGGGGAGGGTGGTTATGTTGCCATACCAAAACTTGTATTATTGCTGAGTGTCTACAAACTATTTATTTTGTCATGTATTGTAATATGGTATTTGCATTTCTGTCTGTTTCAGTGCGAGACAGTATCATCAGTGAAAGTATATGTCCTCCATTTGGTAAAAAAGCAAAATTCGAGGTAGAGACAATACAAACTAGGTCACCGATGTACGGATGTGCCTATATGGGAAATCAAACTCAAATCACCACTGCTCCATTGTTCCATTTGTGGTTGGAGCGTCCAGTGGAAACAACAGTACACGGACATTGCAACAACACGCAGAGTACGTATAACAAATTACTGTTGTTGCAGTACAATGTGAAGGGGAAGGGGTTGCGCCAATGATTGCATTAAAGCTTTCTTTGGCTTAAACCATAAACATATCATGCATTATAATATAAAAGTATATTATGTTACGATTACTTGTATCTAAGTACTGAAATACACTTTAAACGCACTATTATCTTTGAATGTAACTAAATGTTGTATAGATGATCATTTATGTAGTGACAGTTTTTGGAAGTGCTTCTATTAATATTTAATACTCATATATATGCATTTTCCACAGAATACAATACTTCACATATTTAATAGGTATTTCTTATAATCATATTATATAATATAACATTACCGTGTGTGTGTTTAACATGGCCGTGCTAGGGGAGGAATTGGAAAAGCCCCGGGGTGCCACAGCTTTTTGAAACTTTGTGTCTAGTGGCTCAATACAAAATAAAATCAACTATAGTCTTATTATCTCTCGTTATTTTATAGTATATTCGTATAATAAGTAAAAACATTAACAAATTGATATTCGCTTTACACACATATTTCTGTTCTATATGAATATTCAGTATGTATCTACCATAATATGGAGTATAATATAAAATGTATTATAATATAATATTGAATATTATATTCATATTTCTAATCGCACAATTAATCACTAATGTATATGCCCTCGCAAACGTGCTCATAAAAATAGCATTTCATATTACTTGTGTCAACAAAAATTATTTAAAAGCTATGACATTCATCATACTCATGTTTATTTTATTCGGTTGTGTTCTATCAGATATAGATCATTTCATATTTGAGTGTTTGTCAGAAAATATCCCGATCAATAAATACGAAACTGAATTGGGCTGGCAGTATATATCACTTCTCGAACATACCACAGACGAAAACATCAAAAACGAAACAAAGAAACGATTACACAGATGCGCAGTAAGTAAATATTATATTTACTTGTTATTTTATATTCTATATTATTGGGGTAAATGAATCTGTGCAACCAATTTGATTATTCAAATTTTGGTACGATAGGTGGGGGGGGGGACACGTAGTTGAAGATTATTCCTATACACATAAATATATAGATTTTCGATTTTACGAGGGTGTTTGGTGAAATAATGCGTTTTATTGGTGTACTTGGATCTTTATATAAAAAATCGTATTTTCACTTTTCATGGAGTAGTTTATTTTAATAATTAAAAACGAATTATATGTCTAACTCGCAAATATAAAAAAAAATAACTATGCGACCACACGCCAGCGCTTCCTTCAAAATAATTTAACTTACAATTTTGCATACCTAGTCAAATAATTGAGGCTCTCGTATTGTATATATATATACATTCCCAAATGCCATCAAACGGTTTGATGATTCATAATTTTACATATTTTTATCGAATAAAAAATGTTTCATGTTAAACGTAATAATATATAATAATCCGTGAGCAACTATCCTTGGGCGTTTAAGAAAAAGAAATATACAACCCACACATTATAATAAATTTAAGTTACTATTGTTAATATCGGTATCACTGAGTGTTAGTCATCGGTGCTGTATTTACACTAATATCACTCGTATATTAACTTTAAGCTTACTGTAAAATCTGCAAGTCTAGAATTCAACTTCATCGACGTCGTTAATGGACTGGGGACGGATTTCAGTGCACTCATATTCATTTACACATTTGTCATGTATAATTCATTATTTTTCTCTCTAACAGTCTAACTGTATTTTTCCGTTCTGCCCGCATTTGTACGATATGAGGAACGAAGACGATAAGATGGTTAGAATTATCCGGATGGTGATTAGCAAGCCGATAGCAGGAGACCATTTTAATGTAAACCAGCACAAATCGTTATCGCAACTTTTGGATCGGGATGAGCTGTCATTCATCCCTGAGGGATCACGATATTGGCCCGATGGTTCCATGTACTTATATTTATTAGAAAGACCAAAAGCCAAAAGCTTTATAACTACTAATACAAATCCGGTTACTAATCGTCCAACTACTGCAACCAGTCGTCCATCAACAACTACTACCACCAGACGTCCATCAACCACTGTTACGACCACAAGTCCCACAACAACAACAACAACAACAACAACTACAAAACCTCAGTCTAGTTTTCTCAAATATATGTATTATTTGCTTAAGACAAAGACGGTTTAATGCACTAATTTACACATTTTAATACATTAAATAATATCCCTAATTTTTCTCTGAGGCACTCACATTACGACTATTAATCACTTTTACGATCACACGTCCCACAACAACTTCAATTTACCACCCTCCTTCTAGTTTTCTCAAATTGTTTTATTATTTTTATTCTTCACCAGCGCTGGGGTTTTTACAATTCAAAATTTATCAAAAATTATGTTGAAAACGTATAAATTAGACTTCAAAAATGATTGTAAAGAAAAAAATATTTCTTTCGATCCTTTTTGAGATAAAATACGTTGCCTTTTGGCAATGCTAGATGCTTATAATAACTTAGGTATTTCATACAAATACAATAAATTAATTTTGTAATATTTTCTTATATATTTTGTTATCAATGTTATAACATAAATAAAATATAATGTATTAAACTATGCTTGTTACTACTTTGTTCAAGATATTATGGAAATACAATATTGAATTCAAGTGAAAAAAAATGTCACAGCTTGTACAATACACTTTTCTTGAATTTAACTTGAGTGAAGTGGAATAAAACAAATACAATATAATCCTACATTGTCAACACATTGTCCTCATAATTGACTTACAATCTTTTCCAGCACACCTTTTCTTTTTTTTATCTTCAGTTTTTTTTTACCAAATTATGTATTTTGTTAAATCTGATTGAGTCTGAAACCCGACAATCAGTCGATCAAAATATTAATGTCGATGGTCTTAAGATTGCTTTTGGCACAGTTTGATACCTTCGTAAAAAACATTTACGAGTTCTCTTTCGAAATCATGTTGCTTAATTTTTTTCCATCTTGTTTTGTTGTATAGAATCCAACTATTTTGGAGAGCAACATCCATGTTATCAAAAATAATGTAATTGATTTAATGTAATTTGTTTTACTATGAGACATTAGTACAACGGTGGGTAAAATTCATTTTTCGTAAAAAAAATATCATAACTAAAATCGTTATTTTTGGTTTTAATATGTAATTTCGTCCAAATTTAAACTTAACAAAACTAAAAAAAAAAATTGTATTCATATATTTTTAGATTTTTTGGTCGCAGAATTAACTACTTGCGTAGAACCTTATTTTAAATATTCAATCCTTATAGCTTTAAAAGTTCAAAATTTTATAAATTTTTACTACAAAATTATTTGTAAAGTTTCAATTTAATAAATGTTGTCAACATCTAACTTCAAATGCTTATAAAAAAATTGTGTCAGTATATTTTTAATATTATTCAACTGCTATTGTAACAATATATCAGGAGCCTTGTATTATATTTTTAAGCTTTTTTACTTAGTTTTTAATTTAATTGATATTTATAAAAATAAATAGAAAATGTCTGTAAACAGTTCTAATTGAGTGAAAATATTGGTTGTAAAATCAAAGTATTCACAGTTATTCGTTTTTGAATAACAAATAAATAAAATAATCGTAGCAATGTGGAAATCAAGTTTTTATTTTAGTAGAAAACTTCAAACGCTCATGAAAATGTAATTTAGTTCTCTGATACGCATTTTTTTTTTAAATTAAGGTAGATGATGTTCTGAAAAATCTTGTATTCAATTTTCAAATCTTCAAATAAAAATACATTTTTTTATGCATTTCCAACCAAAAATAATTTGCAGTCTCCTGATTTTTACGAATACTGTCAAAATTCTAACTTCAAAATTAAAAATTATTGCGAATCGTTTCGCTCAGAATTTAAAATTATTTACAAGTTTACGAGATTTGGATGGATTTTAACAAAATTTAAAATTTAAATGCACATACAAAATAATCCAGATAGCTTAATATTTTTAATTACTATTAAAGCAACTTATGAGGACTCTTGGCTCTTGCATTAGATTTACATATTTTAGCTCAATAAGAGTCAACAGTCAAAATATTTAGATAATCATTTTTTTCGGTTAATTTTTGTTCTTCTTGACGCTTTCCAAAAAATAATGAGGATTTTACTTCCAGAATACAACAAGAAAATCAAATTTTCTATCAGGAATGTTGTTGATGTTGAAAGTTGGAGCATTTTTACTACAAATGTTGATGACAGACAAAAGGACACACACACACATCATTGCAAATACAATTTCATATCAATACATTAATTTCTACACTCAGAATCTAAAATAACTTTAAATTACTACTAACTAAGTACAAAATGTTTTTCTTTTCTCCGAATGTACTTACTTGTAAGGGAAGAAGTATTTTGGAAAAATGTATACTAGATACAACGGTCAATAAATTTTATTATAAATTTATAAAGTATATGCAGGAAGTAAAATAGAGAATAAAATTATTCATGAATGTTAATTATATATTTTCATTAGTTGAATGTATCAAATGACAATTATTATCTGATTATTCATTTAAGGTCATTATAATAAATATATATTATATTAAACAATGTTGTAATTTAAACATGAATGTAAAAAAAGAATGTTTAAATTTACTTTGGAATTAATCTAAATGCTTAAACTAAACTGAACGAATAAAAATCATAAAATCATTCACAATTATAATACAAACCAATAAACATTTAAATAAAAAGAAGAAGAGTTCTTAAAAAATAGGAGTTTTATCATCACTAAATTAGATACTGATTTTTTTTTTGTGGTTCCTCTTTCCATTGATTGAATAAAACTTGAAAAGTTCATCAAAGAACAAGATCTGCATCACGATTTGTATGTTTATTTATACCTACTGAAGTTCAATTAGCTTATTTTTGTAAAACAAAATATATTTTTAAATGACTATGTATGTTTATAAATAAAAAACTATATATTGCCTACATCGAATTATTTCTACAATGAAAAATAACCAAAATCGTTATTTTATATTTAAATTTTAAATATCCAATTTACCGAAATAAACATATAATTGGGTATAGGCAAATCTTAAAAAAATGAGCCAACAAATGTTTGTAATTTTTAATTTATTTGAAGTTCTATGGAACCTTGTACATACAGATGATTAAATTTTCAAGACCAATTTTTTTAATACATTTTTATACATTTTGAACTACCAAATAATTTATGGTGTCCCGATCATTTTAATAAAAATGTTCATGCCTTTACTTTCTCAAATTAACAATTAGATTCACCTTGTCTCTTTCTCTTGCAACTCAAATTCGCTTATTTTTTAAAAAATTTTCATATGAATAAAAAATCCTTCGCTTTACTTATTTGTTACACCTCAATGTCTCATTTCTATTGCCTATTCGATTAATGATTTTATTTCAATACTGTTTCTTTTATAACAGCTAGTCTTTTAGGAAATTTCTGTTTATTTATTAAAAATTATTTCAATACTAAAAATTAGTTTTTTATAAACAAGAACTATATTGTCGAATTGGTCCACGTAATTTAGCCAATCTATGAAGGAATGAACAAAGAAGTATGTTTATTGCTGGATACTTTTCTTATAATAATATACATTTAGAATAAAATAATTTTGTTCTAAATTACGATTTTCATGAAATATTTTTAGACATTTTCTACATTTCTGTATACAGTATGTAACATGACACGAATTATACGACTGGCGGATATGGAATTATAACGTCATGACGGTATAACTGACGATGACTTTGAACTAACAATGTTTTTACCCAAGGGTCTACATATTATATCGTAGTATATAATAGGAGGTCGTTAGAGCTCTAATAGAATTTTAATTTCCGTAGAAGAATACGGTGAATTTTTTAGTGCATGTGATATCAAATTACTATAATAAATAAAACGACATTTAATCGTTTAAAAATTCCTATCATAGAATTACCGTCTCGTTTCCATGGATGTGTCACCTAAGGGTCACAAATGATAGTTTGGGAGGAAGCCAAAAATAATGAACTAAATGGTTTTTCATATAAAACTATAGTATTTTAAAAATAAGATAAATTTAATTATTTGTTCGGTTCGACAACCGTGTAACATACCGAATAGCGTAATCCTATCTTTTATTTTATCTGGTTTTATTAAAATTTGTATCTTGTACGTATATTTGAACTTTTTCAGTCACAGATTGTTGTAATAATCAGTTCCTACCAAGTTGTCATTTTAAAATTGATTAAATTTTTAAATGTGAATTAATCAACATCGTACACTTTGTAAATATTTTATCGGTCATTAAATTAAATTTTGAGGAATAAAAAAAAAATTCTTTGGAATGGTCACCTTACAAAGACATTACGAAAATGGCTATTCGTATTCAAAAAGGTCGACAACTTTGATTGATATAGACGTTTTCCATGTTATTTGTACCAGATAGTATTTTTGACAACAATAATGATAACTATTAATTATTATTACATTGAACACGTTGAAGCTTGGATTCAGGATTAGTTAAGAAAAATAAAAAATATATCTTTTGAAATAGTCAGTAGTCGTTAATCCTTTAAAAATATATAATAATACGTCACAATAGACATCTGTTAACCTGCCAACACAACGCGCCATGACCGATCATCCTGCCGGCTATGTTCTATATGAACATAGTTTGTAGTGTCTTAGATTTACAGTTAGGTCATTTTATGTAAACAATTTTATTTCAAATCATTACTAAGAATTTCAACTTTTTCAACTTAAGACAAAAATATAAAGATTTCATTTTGACAGAAATAATTACCTTTTGTATGGAGAAAAACTACGAGCGATAATTCTATACAGCTTTGTCAGTCAATTATATTTGCTCGTGCGATCTAGGACATTTTGGCGTGGTCATTTTGGTGTAAACCAATTTAGCGTATGGCTATTTTAGCGTAAGACTATTTTGGCGTATGACTATTTTGGAGTAAGACTATTTTGGCGTTAAGTTTGGACTAATATGACTAATATGCTAGTAGTTGTCTGTGCGAGTGTAATAATATAATAATTATGTTTATTAAAGTAGGTATTATTAGTTCATAAAAATTAAAAATTAATTGACTTTGGTAGTTTCGTCCATATAAATAAAAAAATTAATATAAATGTATATAAATAAAAAATAAATTGACT